TGGCAAAAAAACATGATACAGTCAATAACCCCACATACACACGCAGCCCAGCCATCTCCCCGGTTTTCAACTTGCGTGTCTCTCTCTCTCTCTCTCTCTCTAAAGTCAAAAGGAAAAACAAGATTATTTTGCTTACACCATTGGCAGATTATTTTGCTTGTTTTAGGGAAAAACTTGCTTAATATTGCATTTACATTTACATTTAGTCATTTAGCAGACGCTTTTATCCAAAGCGACTTACAAATGAGGACAAGGAAGCAATTTACACAACTATAAGAGCAACAATGAATAAGTGCTATAGGCAAGTTTCAGGTCTGTTAAGTCTAAGAAGGAAAGTATTAGTAAAAAATAAATAAATAAATAAATTAAAAAAAAAAAAAAAATCTATATATATATATATATATATATATATATATATATATATATATATATATATATATATATATATATCCAGATCCAGAGAGGCAATTGCAGATTAGGAAGTGAAGTGGAGATTAAATAGTTGAGTTTTTAGTCGTTTCTTGAAAACAGCGAGTGACTCTGCCTTTCTGATGCAGTTAGGGAGTTCATTCCACCAACAGGGCAGATTGAACGCGAACGTTCGGGAAAGTGATTTTTCCCTCTTTGGGCTGAAACCACGAGGCGACGTTCATTCACAGAACGCAAGTTTCTGGAGGGCACATAGATCTGCAGAAGTGAGAGCAGATAAGAAGAAGCAAAGCCAGAAGTCACTTTGTAGGCAAACATCCGAGTTATAAATTTGATGCGAGCAGCAACTGGCAGCCAGTACAAACGGATGAGCAGCAGAGTGACATGTGCTCTTTTAGGTTCATTAAAGATCACTCGTGCTGCTGCATTCTGGAGCAGCTGAAGAGGCTTGATAGAGTTAGCTGGAAGCCCAGCTAGTAGAGTTGCAGTAATCCAGTTTGGAGAGAACAAGAGCTTGAACAAGGAGTTGAGCTGCATGTTCAGATAGGAAGGGTCGGATCTTTCTGATGTTATAGAGTGCGAATCTGCACGATCAAGCAGTTCTAGAAATGTGGTCAGAGAAGTTTAGTTGGTCATCAATCGTTACTCCAAGGCTTTTCACCATTTTGGATGCAGTAATGGTTGCCCCATCCATCTGCATTAAAAAGTTATGATGTAGAGTCAGGTTGGCAGAAACTACAAGCATTTCCGTTTTCTCGAGGTTAAGCTGAAGATGACTGAAGATTATTGGCTTAATATTTCTGAAAACAAGACAATATGTTTTGCTTGTCTAGAAATTGGTTCTGATATAAGAATTTTTAGATATTTGGACTAAAAAGACGACAAAAAATCTAGGTAAGAAAAGCATTTTCTGCATCAGACTTCTTCCACCAGCCATCACTTCCCAAGCTAAAAGGCATGCGCATACACAGCCTTCTGTGTAAACATGCTTCTCATCAGAGAATACCCAATGCACCGTAGGAGTTTGTGCACTGAATACATTTTTTCATCTAACCACAAAATGGCATTCACTGTGGAATCCTATTGCTGAACGTTTCAAAATAAAATATAATTTACTTAAAGTGTAAGTTTGTATACATAAAAGAAATCGAATGTCTTTGTTATTACTTTTAGGTTGTTTGCTATTTTGCGGTTCTGGTGATGCGCAAAAGGGCAGGGCAGGAAGGAGATTTCAGTGGAGATATAAACAGAAAATAACCACATACTGTACAGTTGAAGTCAGAATTATCAGCCCACCTTTTTTTTTTTTTTTTTTTTTTTTAATATTTCCCAAATGATGTTTAACAGAGCAAGGAAATTTTCACAGTTTGTCTGATAATATTTTTTCTTTTGATGAAAGTAATATTTGTTCGATTTTGGCTAGAATACAGAAACCGCTTTTAATTAAAAAAAATAATAATTTTAAGATCAAAATAATTAGCCCCTTTAAGCTATATATTTTTAGATTGTCTACGGACTAAACAATCGTTACACAACAACTTGCCTAATTACCCTAACCTGCCTAGTTTACCTAATTAACCTAGTTAAGCCTTTAAATGTCACTGGGCTAATGTGTGGCATGTAATGTAATGGCTAAAGTGTGGGCTAATAATTCTGACTTCGTCTGTATGTTAGGCATGATTCTTTTATCATGAAGAGTGCCAAGTTTTGTACTGAACTAAAATATATTTGCCTGTCATCGAGGCGGTAGATACTGTAAGCTATCACATGAAAACATACTATAGTAAATACTATCGATAATTACTTGAGTTAAACTGTCAAAATAATTATATTGTTGCTATGGTACATTAGTAATAAATGATCTAATAGGCTTCAGTTTTCTATGCTATAATCATCACAATGCACCACAGTTTACACGAACATTACAGTATTTAAAACAGTTTATCAGTTTACTATGCTACAGTATTTGGTAACATTCATTAACAACGAGTATAGTATAGAATAAATTACTATAGTTTTTTTCCCCATCCGGATAATGTTATATCTTCCAGACATCACAAAATAACAGATTAAAGCTTACAAAAGTGTGTCGCAGTCTACATTATGTTATTTACTTATTTTTGTAAAGGAGGGAAAGTGCTCCACAATAATAACCGTCTAGTTTTGCTCACATTTCTTTTTTGTTCTGTCAATCAACTAACCATCAACAAACATTCACCACTGCTGCACATCTCGATGTTAACGTTACGGTTGTTTATTCTGCTGAAATGCAAGTAAAGGCTTGGATTATTGCAAAACAAGACTTCATTGCAGCGTGGTGCGTTATTTGTATTCTCCTGGAGTTTGTATAAGTGTGGTGGTCCTTGCATCTGATTTTTATATATTTTTATATATAAGGCATTAACATATTTATACACATAGTTAGGCTATTGGTGCTGTCTAACTAAATATCGCATAAAAAAAGCTTGTACACCTGCATGTACTTGTCACAATTACCAGCGATCGTATTCCATAAGTTCGCTGGATTGCACTAATAATATCCATGGACTACAAATGCGCCATTTCTGGACTACATTTTCATTCATGCACTCCGTTCACATTCACACATGCTTTCTCATCTAGACTGATTACTCGCACCACCTGAGGATTGTCAGAGACTTATTGCACACACTATTTAAGCCACACACTCACCCATTCACTTTGCAGAGTCTTGTTAACTGTAATAGTAACACTACAACGCGGTTTGCTGGTCTTGTTTCTCTGTGTTTTGACCTTAGCCTTGTTTACCTTTTGTCTCCATCTGCTGCCTGCCTTTTGACCTCTTGCCTGTTATTCGACTACGTTTTTGGACTGTCTCCATATACCTGTTTGGACCTGTATGGACTATTGCTTGCCTGACCACTGATCAATCCTGCATTTGGATCCTACCTTTGTTGTTTGTGTCACTCCCCTTCATAACGGTACAAAAAAAAATCTTTATTACATGCCACCTTAACTTCAGTTTCTTGAACTTTCCCCCCTTTATGAGCAAAAACTTTTGGAAGCCTATTGTAGGGATAGTTTACAGTTTAACCCAAAGAATAACCAGTCTGGTAGATGAAGAAGAGCCGGAGTCAGAGATTTAAATAAATAAATCAAGTTTACTGAAGATAGTTCACAGTTTCATTCGCAGAAGCCAGCTTCAACACTTGCAATGAGTTCCCAGGCCGCTCTGCTTACAATCACCAATCAATAACAATTATACTCTCAAATAACGTCATTAACTGCGTCACACATACAGGTGTCCTAACCTGATTGGTTAAAACACAGATAGACTAGGAACTATTTCCACGTGGGGTTTGTGCGTATATTCTGAACAATATCTTGAGCATAAACGTCAGACATCCCTTAGGCTGATTAGAGCTAGCTCCAGATCTGTGAAATGGATCAACAATCAAATAGAACACACACACTTAAAGTATAATCTGTTTCTTATCCAAGACTGAGTGTACTGTCAGCCGTCTTTATCGAAACTGGATTAAAAACTGGTATAATCTACATTCAGGCAGTTATATTCTTACTACACAAAGTCTATCTTGAATAAAAAGTAGAATCACTTTAAAAGATTTAACCGTAAAAATAGCAAAATCACTTTAGACATTTTAGACAGTATTAACTCCTAGAAATAACAATAGAAACAGTTGTTTCCAGTCCTCAGCCCTCAGTCTCCGTGACCTCTGACCTAGTTTGCTGGCTCCTAAAAATAGGTATAAAGAGACAGGCAAATGCACTGAACATTCTTATTTTAAGCAATGTGTTAACTTATTCATTAATTAAAATCCATTCACAGTTAAATACTGAGAAACAGGATGATGAAAAGGATAAACGTTGGTCCATGATGAGATGGACTGGAAAGCAGAAATCCGAATCCTTCACTATAAAAGCTATTGGCATTTCTCATTTTAGCCGATTTAGACAATTCGAAACAACATAAAACAGAAACATTTTGATGTTCTGGTAGAGATTCCTATGTAGAGGAATCACTTCCTGCCCTCTATATGAATTTAACGCATCATCAATTATGTTATGGGAAAACAACCTATAGACTACTCACTAAGTGTTACATAATTATGCCATGGTCTGAATATAAGTTTAAAGTCTAATCCACCTGAGGGACTTGTCAACCAGTAAAACACAAAGCACCTTATTTTCCAGTGAACTCAGTGCCAAAATTCACTAGTTTTCATTCATACCTTTGAGTGGATTATATGGATTAATGTAAGGAATAACCAATGAGGGTTTAGGGGGTGATTAGTGATACAGCAAGCAGCTTAAATTCACAGATGAATATCATTCCAAGCAGATGGTACTCAAAATATTTGTGGGAAAGGGGACAAATGTAAACACCTAGAACGTTCCTGAAACCCATACATGCAACAGTGTCTATATAATTCTGACATATGATTATTTTATTATGTTATCTGTTGTGTTTGTGTGTGCCCTTAAGTGATGCTTTATGATCCACATCCTGTTTGTTGTACCATTAAGAAGCACATGAATCTAAAATGTCTTGTCCTTTTTATTGTTCACAGGACTCTCATAAATTTGGCTGTCAGGTCAGTCAAGCCATGGTGGATCTTATGACCCTGCTAAACCCTGACTTCAGAGACACCACAGAAGCCAACTCGGATGAACAGACTTAAAACTGGTTTATACTCATGTCTTTTATGATATATGCAACTATGTCAGTTTCAATGGGAGAAACAAAAGAATTTAAAATCTCGAATATGTCTACATACAGCGCCCAGCATAAATGAGAACACCCCAAACAGATTTATCTTTTAAATGAATATTTATATAGGGCACTATGCAACAATATACTTGTGTATATACCAGTGTTCATTTTGTTGGCGGAAATTTTTCGGCATAATTTTCGTGACAAGCTAGTTTCTACCAACGAAAAAGAGACGAAAGCTAAATAAAAATTAACTGATGATAATGACAACTATAATAAAAATATACTGACATTTTCGTTGACTAATAAAAACGAGACAAAAAAGTGACTGATTGACGAATCTTGGTGTGTGATGTATGATGCACACATGAACATTTGAAAAGTAACTGGTCCACAGTAGACACGGGATGCAATTACATCATATTCCATGGGGGGGTCTGTCAGATCAAACTGTTATAAAATGGCAACAGCTGCGAGAAAGGGAAGATTCACTTTAGATGTCAAGACAAAAAAGTAAACCGTATGGGGAGGAAATAGCTGATAAAAACAACAAAAATAAAGCGACATCCACATACTAGGGATTCATCTTTGAATTCTCACTAGAGTAGATTTAGTCAACTAAAATCTTATAAAATTTAGTTAACTAAAACTAAAAAGATTTAGAAGACTAAAATATGACTAAACTAAAATGGAATTTTTGTCAAAAATATGGTGGCCGAGAGAACTTAATGTGCTGCAATGTAAGAGAGCACATGCAATTACAAAAAACACCTGCAAATTAAGAAACGATCTTCGACAATTTGACAGCACACGTGTTGCAATTTCTCACAACCCAAACAACTTAAGAAACGCGGAGCAAATGGTCACAACACTATAAAACACGCCGCATTTCACACACAACACAACAGAAATATTTCAAGGAGACCCTAAAACGTGACGGATCCGGGTTTAGAGGTTATGGTTGTTTAGGCTAATAAATAATTGTTAAAAAACAAGATCTACAGCGGCGTCTGTCACGTTGGTGGGTCCCCTTGAATCATTTCCATTACATTCTTTTTGTTGTGTGAAATGCAGCGCCTATTATTAATGTTTGTGTTGTGTGTGAAATGCAGCGCATTTTATTAATGTGTTTGCGTTGTGAGGATTTTCAGCAGGTATGCTGTCAAACGGATGAAGATTTTTTCTTAATTTGCTGGTGTTTTTTGTAATTGCATGTGTTTTCTTAAAATGAAGCACGTTAAGCTCTCTCGGCCACCGTACAAAAGACTATAACTAAAACTAAATTAAAATTTGCTGTCAAAATTAACACATATAATATATACATATATATTATTAATATACTGTATTATCGAGTTTAACAACCAGCTGAAACTGTTGTGCTGATCAAAAGGGGTCTGGATTTGTATGCCAGTGAAGAAACTTACCATGTGTCAGACTATTCAGACTAACAGTTAAAAACAAAATACCAAGAGCCCGTGAAGCAATGGTAATACTGGTAAAATGCTAGTGAATTTCTTAGTCCAAGTTAAAAACCTAGTGGCTACATTTTGAAACGTCTAAAGGAATGCAATAAAAATCTGAGAAACTCCTGAATATAGTGAATTGCAATAATTCAGTCTGGACGTAATACTCCTTAATTGATAGAAACCACTTCTGACTACAGAATGAATGTGCTTGTAACTTAAACTTTAACTAAGAATCAAAAATAACTCCAAGACTCTGTGTGATTTTGGACCTTTGGTTTAAAAGGACCTGGTTGATCAATTATAGGTTCAGGAACATGCTGAGGGCCAAACACTAATACTTCAGTCAGTCTGATCCATTCAAATGTGATACTTAATATTGTTAAAACAGGTAAAAAAGGACTGTAAAGCCATATTTTCCCCTTTTTTAAAGGCATATAAAGTTGAGCATCACCAGCATAAAGATGATAGCTTACATCATGCTTCTGGCAGATAGCAGCCTAGGGAAGCATATAAATGGTAAAATAAATGCCACCATCCATTCCTCAATATTGTTAAAACAAGAATAAAAGGATTTAAAGCCATGTTTTATCCCTTTTATTATAGGCATATCAAAATATAGCTTATCATGCTACTCAGAGATAGCTGTCAATGAAAATGAAAAATAAAGCTAGGCCCAAAAGTATTATGATCCGTGATCCATACGAGCAGAAAGATAGATGAAACGTTTTCAGAAAATGTTCAACAGAAAAAGTTTCCTCTAAAAGATCAAATAAACCAATTTAGAACATTTCCTTGGTGTTCAGCCAGCAATCTTGTACTATGGTGTCAAGTGCAGCAGTCAAGCAGAACTAGATGTGCACATTTTTCTGAAAAGACAAAAACTATTTAAGAAGAGCTGTCTCTGTGCTATGCTTGAATGCTTAAACAAAATGGCACAACAGCACTCAGCAAACGTATATATACTGATATTGTCTTTATTCACTGAGAAATGGAAATATTCATTTTATAAAAGGGGGTGCCCTCATTTATGCTGTGCACTGTATTTTGTAGTTTTTGTAATTTTGCAGCACAAAATTACATGTTTTGAAGAATCGCTTTTATCTGTTTGCATGAACATATAAGGTCTCTAGTGTCTGTAGTGCTGGTAGTTTCAGCTTTGCTGGTAGGTGTAGGCTTTGAAGGGTGTAGCAGGCTTTGCAATATGTTGTGATATTTTGGTAGCACTTTACAAAAGCCTGAGTTAGTCAATGAACAATGAACGATCAGGTATTACAGTATTTGTTCATGTTGGTTAACGTAGTTTATGAAAATACAGTTGTTCATTATTAGTTCATGCTAACTCATAGTGCAAATTGTAAAGTGGCACCAATATTTTTGTATATTTTTATAGTTGTTATGTAATATTGTGTTCTTTAAATTAATTATTTCAGGGAGTGATTTTTGTTGTTGTGTTCACTGTCAAAAAAATTAAAAATACAAAGTGGCATCTTTAGTTCTTACAGGGACATATTTGTGCCCTATACCCCTGCAAAGTGCCCATTAGTACTTTACAGCAGAAATATGTACCCTGTGTCTCCTTTAGGCACTAATATCAAACTTTCAAGGGTAAATTAGGTATAAAGTAGCTGCTAAAAATTATATTGTCCCATTATCAATCTGTTTTAACTTTAAAGCTACAAATATTGCAACACTTGTTTGTAATAATAAAACTTTACGTTCATATAATTATTAATCACCTGTTTCTAAATGGTCTATCACTAAACATGAGGGAAGGATGTACAGTATACATCCCCCCCAATTGTGGCTTAATCTGTAAAGATTATTTTGCTGGATTCCTCCACGTTTGATTTAGGATAGTTTGAGAAATGGATGAGTTTGTTTTTGGAATATCAGACATAAAATGTGTCTAGAACTCAAATTCTATTCTAGTGTAGTATGGTGCATGACTCTCTTGCAGGATGTTTAATGGATCAATTTGGCATTCTGACTAAAATACATTATGCTAAAGTGATAAATACTTATTAACTTGACTTTTTATTATATATTTTAAGTAATTTGTAATACATAATTCATAATAATTCTTGGGGTTGAATTACATCATAAAATATACTGTACATAAAGCAAAACATTATTATCAATTTGTACAGATTTTCTGAATTAAAAAAATTACTGACTTGAATGTGACGCTTGTGAATTATGTGTTGACAACATCATATCTTCATATTACCATATTTGTGACATATATTCCGTATATTTCTTTCATCATTGTTTGTTAGTAAAATAGCAGTGCCCTAAAAAGTGAAGTGCAAATACTGTATTTTTAAATGGCTTTTATTTCCATATTTCCAATATAGTGGAAAAATACACATTAAACTCTAAATCAAGGTTTTAAAAGATTAATGAATTATTTTAAGGTAAATAAAAAGAGCAGTATTAATAATAAAATAATAAATTATTAAAAAACCTATAAAATAAAGCAGGGGTGGCCAACCCTGTTCCTGGAGAGCCACCTTCCTGCAGATTTCAGTTGCTACAAATATCAAACACACCTGAACCAATTAATTAGGACCTGAACACCAGGTGATAATTACAGGCAGGTGTGTCTGATATGGGTTGCAACTGAAATCTGCAGGAAGGTGGCTCTCCAGGAACAGGGTTGGCCACCCCTGAACTAAAGACATTTTTAATCTTCAGTTCATTATATAAAAGCTTCTTGAATATTTGACAGGTAATTTGAGGTTCATTTTTATAGCACTTCTTTATACAGTGCATATGATGTCAAAAAAGATTTACAGTGAAAACAGTAAATTAAAACTATAAATGTAGTTTCATTAGTGTGAAAGAAGTTTAGTTCAAGAGATATGACGTTTCACTAATGCTGATTTTGTTCTTGCATTGATTTGTTTTGATTTTGTTAGTTATTTAAAGCTTTAGTTCAGTTCAATAAAGGTATCATTGTTGAATATGTGAGTCACTGTAAGGCAGAAGATAATTCAACTACTTTCATAAGTAATAGTGACTAAATTGTACACAAAAAATAAAGTAAATAATAATTATTATTATTTATATTATCATTATTATTATTAATAGTAGTAGTAATGGTAGTAGTATCATAATCATAATAATTATGATAAAATACGTGTTATGGTAATACTTTGTGCATGCTTTATTGCATGAAAATAATAATATCAGGATTATTGATTTTGGGTGAAAGTGAAAGCGAAAGTGAAAGTAAAAGTAAAAGGCCAAGCACAATCTGTACTAGAGTGGAAGTAAAAAGATCCTAGGAAAAATAAAACTGAGAGAAGATTCTTGTTTCATTTTATCGACTCATCATCTAAAATTAAATAAATTGGATAAAATGTTTTTCTATTTTGATTAAAAGAGAAAGGATAATCCAATTGCACAGCACATAACTATAAGACTACTGTACTTGAATAATTTATAGGATTATACACCACTGTTTTGAAGTACCAACATCTACACATTCCCCCTTTGTTGCACAGACAAAAAAAAAAAACAACCATGAGCAGGTTACTATGAGAAAGTCATATCAAAGCTCATCACAAACAGGTTTTCCCAGGAGCAGCGAAACATACTGATATAAGTATAGAAATGTCATTCACAGTTAGTATTCATCATTACTAAACACCATCATGGTAACACTTTGTTTTTACTGCGTGTCTCAGCTTGCATGTGCAAGTCTGCATCCAGATACTATTGCAAAAGATTCACTCAGTGGTTATGACCAGCAAGACGACCTCTTCTGATGATTCAGTGTCTTTCTAAGCAACATGATAACACCATGCATGCATGTAAAATACTTTTATACTTCTCTTGTTTTACTTGGTGTGGTTTTTAAAGGAAGTCATCTGCAACTACGCTACAACTAAATGATGGAAGAAGTATTTTAAAGAGTATACCTTTAAATTGAACAAAAAACAGTACTTGACAGCCATATTCCACAATATTTAATCATAATACCACTCATATACTTCTGTTAAATCTTCATCTTTTAACATGTGCTATTAATTTAACTTAATATTTATTCAAACAATTTTTTGAGACCTATACCATTAAAAACAAAAACAAAGCAATAATGCCCACCAAAATGTAATTTTAAACCTGTCTTCACTGTTTTGCATTTAGTGATGTACATTCAGCTGATATAACCTACAAAAAATGTACAAAAAAAGACTTTGAATGGACCTTTTTATTTTTTTTATTTAACACAAGCACACTCACTGGCCACTTTATTAGTACACCTGTCCAACTGCTCGTTAACGTAAATTTCTAACCAGCCAATAGCATGGCAGCAACTCAATGCATTAAGGCATGTAGACATGGTCAAGACGATCTGCTGCAGTTCAAACCGAGCATCAAAATGGGGAAAAAAGGTGATTTTAGTGACTTTAAACATGGCAAATGCCATGTTAATGCCAGAAGTCAGAGGATAATAGCCAGACTGGTTTGAGCTGATAGAAAGGCAACAGTAACTCAAATAACTTGTCGTTACAACCAAGGTATGCAGAGGAGCATCTCTGAACGTCCAACCTTGAGGCGGATGGGCTTCAGCAGCAGAAGACCACATCAGGTGCCACTCCCGTCAGCTAAGAACAGGAAACTGCAGCTACAGTTTACACATCTTCTGATGGCTACTTCCAGCAGGATAACACGCCATGTCATAAAGCGGGAATCATCTCAGACTGGTTTCTTGAACATGATTATGAGTTCACTGAACTCAAATGGCCTCCACGGTCACCAGAACTCAATCCAATAGAGCACCTTTGGGATGTGGTGGAATGGGAGATTCACATCATGGAGGTGCAGCAAACAAACCTGCAGCAACTATGTGATGCTATCATGTCAATATAGACCAAAGTCTCTGAGGAATGTTTCCAGTACCTTGTTTAATCTACACAAAAGATTAAGGCAGTTCTGAAGGCAAAAGGGGGTCCAACCCTGTACTAGTAAGGTGTACCTAATAAAGTGGCCGGTGATTGTAGATAAAAAAATCTGCTATATACCCATACAGGAATTTATAAAATTCAATGTAGATATTTGTCATTCTATGCTTGAACTTTTGTGTATATGTGTTGTTGCATAGACTATATGTACATACATGACATTTTTTAATATTTGTGAAATCCAAGCATGAAGTTTTATGTTAAATAAGTGATTTGCATGCAGTGCAATATATCAGCTTCTAAACTTCTGTTTATATTAAATGTGCGTTAGATGGAGGAACATTTTTAAAAAGCAGTCAGTATTTTTCAAGTTCAAAAAAAAATATAGGCATTTAAAAAAGGAAAAAGTACAGCAACAGGTAGTCAATATAAATCTTCCATGTAGAAGACAATACTGAGAGTGACCCGCAGCAACTTTATCAGTTGAAAGGGGGTGGGGACTTTCTCCATTTGTCCATAAGCTCTTAACCGGCGGCAAACGCGACACTTTCCACGGCACACCCACGCTGCCCTTATGAACATATACATTTATTTATAAACACCGTCAGATTCCGTTTGGTCAGTTCACCCACGACTTTTCTGGTATCTTGGGGGCATTTTAAATTCCCAGAAACACAAGGGGCTCGATTCTTAAGGCTGGAAAACGAAAGTATGTTGCAGAGCAAGAGAAGGCGTCAGAAAGGTAAGGCGCATGTTTGAGTCTTGTGTGAGATGCCTGATTTTCAACCTAAAACCTCCACTCCACTGAGGTGTTACTATTATAAATGTTATAAAGAAATGTATTTGTTTTCATTTATGTACTGATTCAAAGCTACTGAATATCTACGCTGGACAGTCTTTGGATTTAACCATTTCGGAATGGTCTGCGGATGTCTAATTAGCTATATCTATTTGGGTATCTGATCTGATGATTGTTTTTCGTGTCACTGGTACTCGCTGTTGGAAGCCTCACATCTGGATCCGGTTGACATGTGGAGCTTTCACAGTAGCTCATCCGCTGGAATTGCGTGTGACACGAGGTTTTTAAATACATGCTTTATAGGCAGTTTAATACATCCACAATTACTCCGTGGACAAATGTGTACGTGATCCAAGTAAAACGCGCCCAAAAATGACACTTACATAGACACTTGAGCTCACCCGGAGAAAGAGAAACCTCCACAGACTTTCATATTTTGGACAACAAATACCATTAAAACATTGCAAACATCGATTCTAATCTGTTCTAATGTGTCTAGGGGGCACAGTCCATTAGGATTAAAAGTGTTTTACCATGCCACCAGGAGAAGACAACACATTAGGCTACTAGACCCATGTCAGGATCCACTGTATACAATTACCACTATGCTGTAATCAATAAACCCATATATATATATATATATATATATATATATATATATATATATATATATATATATATATATATATATATATTCTGTTTAATAGAGGAAAGATTGTCTCAGCATACTTCTAAGCATAATAGTTTTAATAACTCATTTCTAATGACTGATTTATTTTATCTTTGCCATGATGGCTGTAAATAATATTTGACTAGATATTTTTCAAGACATTTCTATACAGCGTGTAGTGACATTTAAAGGCTTAACTAGGTTAATAAGGTGAACTAGGCAGGTTAGGGTAATTAGTCAACTTATTGTATAACAATGGTTTGTTCTGTAGATTATCGAAAAACAAATTAGCTTAAAGGAGCTAATAATTTTTTCCTAAAAATGTTTTTTTTTTTTTTTTACTAATAACTGCTTTTATTCTAGCCGAAATAAAACAAATAAAACTTTCTTCTGAAGAAAAAATAATATCATACTGTGAAAATTTTATTGCTCTGTTTAACATCATTTAGGAAATATTTAAAAAAGAAAATCAAAATCAAAAGGGGGCAAATAATTCTGACTTCAGCTGTATATATAAATGCAATATATATGCTATTTTTATTTTAAGCAGGACAACATTTTGTATTCAGCTCAAAAAATATAGTAACATAAAATAATAGCTTAAATGAACAAAATAGATTAATAAATTGATTCATTACACAACAGTAACTTTATTGGTAATGATCACCCAAAGATGAAAGTTAATAATGAGTGTGTAACTGAATATGAGTAACTGCTGGTCTTTTAGACTTTAAGCGGATCGGAGACCAATGTTTGGTTACCCACATTACTTAATGCACTTCAAAAAAAAAAAAAATAATTTACTTGAGTAAATGATTACAAAATGTATCTTTTTAAGTGACCAGTCCCTTAAAAGTTTCGCTTTCCAAATATTCAGTGTACTTTGTGTGAAAAGATCGACTTATTTTCTTGCCTGCAACTTTACTTTTTAAACGGGTGTGGAGAGAGGTTTCAGTGGGCACGGCTACATTCCTCTTACCCTTATTAATAACACTAACACACTGTATGTAGGGCTGGTTGCGGTATGATAAAACATGTACAAATTTGCCAAAAAGCTTACCATGGTGAAAGTGAGAGTTTATACAACCTCCTGCTGTACTGTACAATCTTTTCATGGCACCATCCTCTAAAAACCAGCATACACTGGCATGAAATCCATGTTTGTCCAGGCTGGAAATGTGCTGATATAGTTGTTGGACCAGCATGCATAGTGATGTTGTTTTCAAGAAAAATGGGACTATTTCAGGCTGAATGAATGCATGAAAAAATGAGTAAATGATTGGAAAGTGTGAACACTGCTTATTTAACTTATAATATCATGTGCCATGTTTTTACCAAGTTCCACTGAAATGTCAAATTACATAACCCTGAATGTTAAGGATGGAAACAAAAGGTTCATTGCTAAACACATGACCAATGGATAAGAACCAGGTGTAGTCAAGAGTGTGTGAAGATATGCCGGTGCCACAACCCACAGAGCAAAGCAGCACACCTAAAAATAGAAGAAAGTTTTAAAATGTAATCTTAAGTCAGGGATTAATTAATTATTAAAATCAGCTCTTTACTTCGTTTGCAGATCTCCCTCCTCCTGCACCAGTGAAAGTCCTTCATGCTGATTTATTATTCATATTTCAAAGAAAAACCCCATTTCAATAACTTAGAAATATATAATTATTATAAAAGTAAGAATTAGATGTGTGTTGTTGTTACAATCACCAGCAATCTAACCTTGCCTGATCACTGGAAAACACCAAACATTCACTCACTCCACATCTGACACTGAAATGAACTGCAACTCCCAGAAGTCTATTTTTATTTGTGTATTTGTAAAGCTCTTTTTACAATAATGATCGTTTCAAAGCAGCTTTACAAAAGGTGCACATTATTGCATTATAATCAAATTAAGTTAAAGTTACAATCAAATATAAGTTATTATATATAAACATAGTTAACCTGCAGTTTTATGACATTTAGGTGATGTCTGTGTGTAAATGCTTAATGTATTTGTATATTAAAATGCACCTATGATGAAAATTTTTTGAAAACTTTTGGAAGCTGTTTGCACAAAACTGTGTGTAGGTATAGTGTGTCCACAGTCATGTTGGGGTAATAGAAAGACAATACTTTTTTTATTTATTTCCTGATGTTAAAATAGGATCCAAATCCCTCCCATTTTGAGGCCCACCGCAACGTGACATAGTAGTGCGGTTTCCCCGCCCATCAAACTGATTGACAGCCTCGTATTAACATGTCTTCTTAGTAGCGCATATAATCATATACACAAGACAGGGCGCACACAAAGCAACTGGGATTAAAAGATCTGTTCAGCTCTCTGTGATAATCATCAAATGTGATCAAGAATGAGTTTAAAACATTTTTAAAACAGTGCATGTTTGTAATCAATTACAGCGATTTAACGGTCTTTATCACTACAGCTGCATGTGAGTGCAATTATAAAAGAAGACACTTCAATCACGGTTTGTGGACGTTAAGTCAGGTGAATTTTGTACAGTAACATAACGGATTTCCATACAGCTGTGGATATTAACGTGTATCCTATCACTAGGCTTACACGGAATCTGCACGCGCAGAATTCCGGGGATTTTTCACAGAATTCCGCAGATTTCTGCAAATTTTTAGCCCTTCATTAGTTCTGTTTATTTACTTGAGTAAATGTGTAAATCTAAATTTATTCAATTTTTTTATTCAGGAATGTATTACCTTTTATTTCATATAATAAGGTTTTAGTTATGATACTTCGCTGGATACTCCCAAAATAATTCCGCAGAAATCCGCAAGTTTTTACCAAAATTCTCAGCAGAAATGCCAAAAACATCTGCAGATTCCATCTGGCCCTGCCAATCACATTTGCATACAAAAACACTGCAAAGTTAAACGCACATGCTGTGTGTTTGTGTTTTCTTATGTGTGTGTGTCTGCGTGAACTTTGTAACGAGGTTGTGTGTGACTCATCGTTGCATAAAGGCTTTAATAAACTCCACAAGAAATACATCAAATAATCATCAAGTTCTTATTGTAGTATTTCTTACAAACGTTGCGTAAAATCTGCTTCTTTTATGTCTGTCACTGTGTTGTTTATCTGACGCATCCAAGACTGAGATTGAGGCACACTCCGACAGGCACATGGGAACGGTGGGTGGGGAGAACTAGCTTATTTGCATTAAAGTCACAGGCAACAAAAACAGCTACACTGTGTTCAGAGCAGAACATTCCAATATTCTGAAAGGTATAATAAATAGTCTGATGGGTGTTTTGAGCTGAAACTTTACAGACACATTCTGGAGACACAAAAGACTTATCTTAAATCTTGAAAAAAGGGCAAAATAGGTGCCCTTTAAGTAGGTCTGGGCGATAAATTAAAAAGTAATCGAAATTGGCATTTAGATTAGAACCAATAATCGATCTTATTTTTCCAGGACGATTTTTTCAATTATTATCCCTACCACGTGTGGAGTCACATGACCCCACTCTGTTGAAGGCTGAGGCAGATTTATACTTCTGTGGCCACTTCGCAGCCACATCTGATCTCTGGTCAAGGATGACGATGGACTTTTTTTTTTAACCTTAGGGCGTACTCACACTATTTACAGTTGCCTTGAACCAGGCCAAAGCACACTTGTCCCCCCTCATGCCCCCCCTGATGGCCCGCACTCACATTGCATTCGGGCCTGAGCACGCTTACGTCATTGATGATGCGCTGTTCAGTAAGAAGCGCTCTCGCTCAGCACAGTGGAGATTTCTTTAGTTATTTGGGATGTGGTGACACACAGTCAAATATTTCGCTGAATAGATCAGCCATTTTTCATAAACAAACATAAAGTCATTGTGCTGCAGGAGTGCAGCTGTTGTGAGGGGTTTGCATCTTTAATAATCTATGACAGTTTGCATTTTTTAAACAGTAATAATGATTATTAAATCCATATGAACGGTCCCTTTAAAGTCACGTCTCGTCTTCAGTTTCGGGCTTAGGCGCGCTTTGCACTCACACTACAAGCCTACCACGCCCAAGTGAACCGTGCTCTGGCACACCTCTCCCAACTGGGCTAGGGCCAGCCTGGGCACGGTTCAGATAGCATAGTGTAAGTACGCCCTTACTTTGCACTACATTGACGATGATGGGAAGCTGCCCCAGAGATGCCTTGAGACAACATAGTTTCCATTACATTAAAATTACTATTTACATAGAAATATTTGTTTAGAGAAGATGCAAGAAATGCACTGTTTAAAAGATTATTTACAGGATATACAAAGT